GGCAAAGCGTAAGTACCTCAACGGATCGATTCGATTTTACGCGATTAAAGAAAAGCAGTGTTTTACTGTCTGGTTTTCTTAAAATTGTCGTATGTTTTGCATACGAACTCCGTTTTCGACGTTCTTTATATCGACGCATAGGCGGGAACGTACTCTACAACTTTATGTAAAGATATCGGGCTTATATCACACTTTAATTTTGACGCTTATTTTTATTCTTTATTAATTATACCTTTATAATTAAATTATAAGCACACAAATACACATAATTCACATAGTATTCAAATATTTCATCTTTATTACTTCAAAAGAGTTATAATAGTTGACCTAGACTATTACATCATTACATCATCTGATAATGCTTAGCCCCGAAACCCGGACGTTACAATAACACATTTCAAACTCATTTTAAGCAAAAATAATTGCTCCTACTCACACCCTCCACACACCTCCCCTCTCCAATGTCATCTCCAATTATCGTTGGCCCACCTATCACTAACAATACAATCTGACTCTAAATCAAGTCGAAAGACCATGTCAAATATGATCTGCAGTGGCTGCGGTCCAAGCCACACTTCCTACCAAAATCTAATGGAATTTCCTTGACAAAAACATTTTTTTCAAAGTAGCCAAAGGAACGACATTAGACTCATCCATCTTTTGAATAACTCTCATTATTTTAGAACACAAGCCAGTTTTAGAACCACGTATAACTGAACAAAACACGCAATCATTATTTTGAATGGCTTTAACAAGCTGAACCTAACAAACATCTCCTTAAAAAACAAACCACCAATGCTATTTTATAGTAAATCATTATTAAAGATCGAGATACTACATACACCAATACCTCCCTTTTCAAAGCTAGCTACAACTTGCTCCCAATTCACCAATGCTAACTTTCAACTGTCTTTATCACCACCCCAAACAAAATATCGTGCAACGACTCCAAGATATTAAGAATCCCTTCTTGCCAATATGGTCTTTTACTTCTCAACCATCGATTCCTTACTCCCTTTCCTACTCATGTTAGAATCGATAGGAAACCAAACATAAGTAAAATGAAATTTACCAACAGTACACCCACAACGAGAAGCAATATATTGGACTATACCCCGAGCAACACACACCATATAAATCTGACTTCTGCATATTTAACTTCAAGCTACACATAAGAAATAACTCATGTAAAACTTGGGAGATGCTATTAGTTTCTTGTAAACCCCACTCTAAAACAAAAACCACATCATCTGAATATAGAATATAGGAAAGTCGAACTCTTGGTTTCCCACCCTAACTCCACGAATGTAGTTATTGGCAATGTCATATTGAATCAAAACATGCAGTCCCTCCATGTCTAAAATAAATAAGAATGAAGGTAATGGATCTCCCTGCCTGAGACCTCGAAACAATGAAAGCTTTGACGTCGGGCTGTCATTCGATAAAATTGATTCTCTGGCAGAAAAAAGACAAGATTGAATCCAATCTCTCAATTTATCTCCAAACCCAAGAGCCTCGATAACATGGTCAAGATACTACTAACTCAAAGATTTACACGTTTTTTCGAAGTAAATCTTGAAGATCATTAACTTTCACTTTTTTATTTTTATACCAATAAACTATTTCTCCCAGCATAAGTGGGCCCTCAAGAATTTTCCTTCATTTAATAAAGACAAATTGTTCCTCCTTAAACCAATCCGCCAAAGTCTTTAACCAAACGTATAACTAAAATATTACGATAATCTAATATTGAACCCCTACAAGAGAGATCGGTCTAAAGTCCTTCACAAAAAAAGGTTTTGAACCTTCGAAATTAACGTTATGAAGGCCCATTACACCCATAAGGCATAATCCTGGTAATAAAAAAACTCATGGACATTAGCCTACACTATTGTTTATCATTATCGACTAAATTTTTTTAATAAATTTGAATGTGAAGCCATCTGGTTCCGGAGTTTTGTCTCCACCATATAACGGGGTCCCACAAGACTTTTTGACATCCCTATGTCTTAATAGCATATACTTGTGAGTTGTATGTGAATAAAGAAAAATATAATATATAGAATTTTATTTAATATTATTTTAGCTATTTCTATAGTTAATTAATATAAAAACTACTCATTTAGTCATTTTCTAACTTCCACCATAATAATTTCAAGATAGCATAATTCTTAATTTTATGTATTCCTTGTTGGAAGTAATTTATGATTTAATTTAATTTTTAATTATTGTTGTTGATAATTAATTTAAAATCAATTTTTTATATATATTTTGTTAATTATGTTAAATAAATAGTTTGTAACCTTTTATTTTTGGTCCTTTTTCTAAATTTTAATATATCATTACTTTGTTATTTGTTATTAATAAATAAATAGAAAAATAATATCAAGTACTTGAAAAGATTTACATTAATTTGTAGGAGGTAATGAATAAAATTTTAAATTAATACGATAAAAAATAATTATTTATTTTGAACCAATTTGTTTGGCTAGATATACATCACTAGTTTGAACGGGCCCAAGTTGTTTAGATCATATCCAAGCTGGTTTTTTTTCGTCGAGTTTTGTTATGCCTAAGCCGAGGCCAGTATAAAGCTCAAATGTGTACACTTAGTTGTAGTAGTAGTAATACCATGGGCTAAAGAAGGATGGTTTTGGTTAAAACATAATCATGATTTCAAAATTCACTATAATTCTCCATCAGCTTAATAAATTATAAGAATACTTTGGTCTTCTTTTTTAAATATATAACTGAGTTTCATAGTATTACAATAGAGAATCTACATAGAGAATTTATGTATATAAAAAAAATTAATGACTAAAATAGATATGTATACATGTCGATTTCATACATCCTGAATGGACGAGATCATTGGGTTGGAAGGGTTGGTTTTTGAATCCATGTGTGGGAAAATGATGGGATTTTCATACAACCTCGGCCTACTAGACTACTGTATAAGTTTTTTTTAGACAAAATTATAAAAATGGTCCCCGTGGTTTGCCAAAAGTCACAAAGTCAGTCTCTGCTAATTTTTTTTTATGCAAATGGTTCTTGTGGTTTGCAAAACTTGCAAAGATGGCCATTATTACTAACACTGTTAGTATTGAGCCGTTAGGGGCTGAATTTGTAAGGGCATTTTCGTCTTTTTAAGTATAAAGGGACTGAATTCGTGATATTTGATAAACCACAGGGACCATTTTCGAAGTTTGTTTGAAAAAGTGAAATAATTAGCTTAACAAACTTCGAAAATGGTCCCTGTGGTTTATCAAATGTCACGAATTTCGAAAATGGTCCCTATGGTTTATCAAATGTCACGAATTCAGTCCCTTTATACTTGAAAATACGAAAATGCCCTTACAGATTCAGTCCCTAACGGCTCAATACTAACGGTGTTAGTAAAAATGGTCATCTTTGCAAGTTTTGCAAACTACAAGGACCATTTGCATCAAAAACTGACTTTGTGACTTTTGGCAAACCACAGGGACTATTTTTGTAATTTTGTCTTTTTTTAGGGTAAATTACAACAATCGTCCCTCGTGTAGGTGCCAAAAAGCACGTTTAGTCCCTATTTTCAAAAATTAACTCGGACCGTCCCTCATTTGATTAAAAGGTGCACGTTTGGTCCCTCGTAGACATAAAATGACTATCTTGCCCTTTTCTTTTTATTTTCATTCATTTTTCAGGTTTATAATTTATTTTATCATTTTATTTTATTAATTATAATTCTTTAAAAAATCAAGTGGTCCTTATATCACCCCTGGAAAAACCCATCCGACAAGCACCACCCAATACCACCGATAACCACCACCCAATACTTCCAACAACCACCTGTAATCAGCTTCTCCGACGATCCCATATCCATAATCACGATGTTCAAAAAACCTCAGCGATTTAAGCTTTTATGTCTGAAAAACAAACCCTAGAATAGAGTTGCAGATAAATATCGATTTGCTGATAAACACACACATGTGTATGTATTTGTGTTCATGTTCGTTTATGGGATAATAAACACTGATTTGAAGTTTTCCAAATCTACACAAGTACTTGAAGGATTTCGTTCTTAAGGGTTCGATTTGCAAATGGGTGTAGTTCTTGAAGGTGCATTTGCAGATTTACATATCCATATTGGTGTGAATATTCGATCTGCAACTCACTGAAACCTCTGAAGTTCAAGAAAGAGGAGATGTTGTTATAGAAGCATATAGGCGGCGGTGGAGGAGCTTGATCTCAAAACCTAAGAGATCGATGACATCTGTAACGAAACCCTAGCTGACGTCGATGGCGGCGGAGCTCGATCTGTCAAACCCTAGCCGACGTCAATGGTGACGCATAAACCCTAGTCGCCTCTTGTTTTTCCGGCGAGAGGGTAGCGAATCTGCATCCTCTCAAAGCTTCTACCTTTCCATTTAGATATGCACTCCAACAAGAGGCTAGATCCTTTGACGGTACTGATGATGGAACGGTGACAAGTGGTGTTCGAAGAGGTTGATTATCGGTTGTTGTACAAGGAGGGTGGCGATGGTGAATGAGGTGGTGGTTCGTGGCTATTTTTCAGGGAAATAGGTGGTGGTTGCATTGAATTTCGGTGGTGATTATGCATTCCAGTGGTGGTTGTGTATTCCGGTAGTGGTAGTTGTGCTTTCTGGTGGTGGTGGTGGTGGTGGTGCTTAAGTCTTCTTCAACGAAATTGAAAGAGATAGATATAAATATTAGGTTTAATAATTAATTAGAAAAATCAAGAATAAATGAAAAATAAATTGTAAAGGGTATTTTAGTCATTCCATGTCTCATAAGGGATGAAATATGCAAATTTAAATTAACGAGGGACGAAACGTGCATCTTTTTACGATATAAGGGACGATCCGAGTTAATTTTTGAAAATAGAGACTAAACGTGCTTTTTGGCACCTGCACGAGGGACGATCCGTGTAATTTACCCTTTTTTTTTATCTGCTCGCAATAAATATCAATCGGATCATAAAACGGGTCGGAATCAGGCATACCGATTACCGCATACTCGCATAGTACCCAAGATTTATTTCTTTCTTGATCAACTGTTCTACTACACCATCACCGATAACTTGAATTCAGCTGGAAATCTGCGATTAGTTTAGTTTTTTCAGAATCTGATGCTCTTCTGTTATCGTTGATTGAAATCTTGGCGCATTCGATTACTAGTATGCTTTGATCGAGCCGGAAATTATGTAGTGGTGGTCAGTTGTTACTTTCTTGCTATCTTCGTAGAGGAAATCATTGAAGAATGTCTGAAGTTCCTTCGTTGATCACTTTATGCATAGGCGCAATTAAAGATGCAATCCTTGAAGGTGAGTTCTTAGAAGATGTTGTTTGTGGTTATGGTAGTCGTAAACATTTTCTTTGAGGATTCGATTGGAGGCCACTTAGTTAGGGTTAATTAAGGTTACATGTTTTGTTTTACATTTCTGCTAGCATGGGAGTTTCCATCTGCAAATTAAGATAGAACAGTGGTAGTATTTGGAAATAATTAGAAGTTAAGTTTTGATTTTGGTTCAAAATTGAATTGCTTGATTGTAGGTGTGAAACATCTAATTGATCAATTTTGCTTTTTTTTGTTTGTGCAGAAAATGGCAATTTACCTTTTGTTTACAAACTTCCTGCGGAATTGTTTGATCAGCTCTTACCGAACTTACCTCCTCTTGCACTGCAGAATCTACAGGAAGCCATGTTTGTTCCTCTATCTTTGATCTCTCTCTAAGTCGTTTCTTTTCTTTTTGTTGATATGTTGTGTGTGTGGACATAGATATGTTCTTATACACAATTTCCATGAGCATTACTCACAAACACTTATTGTTTTTATCTTTACAAACACTGATAATTCATGTCATGATATCAACCTGATGCACATAGGCTTTTTACTATCTTTGCAGACCATCGATTAGCTCTACTGATCAGGGTTTTGCTGATGATTGCTTAAAACCTTCAAGAAAACGGAAAAGGTTTTATAACAAGTCCTTTGGTTGAAAACATATAATTTGAACAGCAAAACAGCATATGAGCTGTAAACATTTCTTTGCAGATTCGAGAACTTTGATATAGCATGGAAAGCCCTATATGAATCAAGATGGTCAGATGTTCAGAAGTTCACAGTGGATTCCTTACCAGAAGATGTTCAACTTCAACAGGATGAGTCAACCACCAACTGGCAGCAGATTTATTGGGAAAGACATCTGCAAAAGTATGCAACCTGTTTGAATACACATAGTGGATATTTATTTTTTGATATTCAATCGTATCATCTGAGTTTGACTGACATCTTAACAGTTGCCTTGATGCAGTAGCTGAGTTGGTTTCCATCACCCTGTTTGATGGCTTTCTTGGTGAAGTTGAAATTTCAGGTAATTTCTACTGGCTTTTGTTTGCTTCTGTAAAGAACATCACATCACATCACACACAATTTTTGTTTCTGCAGATGCATTGTTAAAGTCTATTACATACGAGAGGCGCCTGAGCATGCCAAAAAGCTATCTAAAATTAGAATATCATTGTGAAAGATTTGGTCTATATGCCAGGTAAAAGAAAACCTTGCCTCTGATCCTCTCTTCTTTCTGCAATTCAATGTGGAGATATCTGTTTATCAAGCTTTGACCTTTACTTTTTCAAATGCAGATGTTTGAGACTCCGTAATGTCCATTGTGTTGCAGAAATTGGTGTAACTTACACAAACTACAAGTCACATTTTTTTTCTTGTATTATTTATTGATTTTGTTTTTGTGTAACAGCATTTATTGAGGAAAAGTCGGTTGGAATATTTGGAAACACACTGGATCAAGTCAAAGGAGCAGGTAATAAGTATTTCTTGATGGTTTTGCAGCTACTTTAGTTTCTTCCATTAATAAAAGATTAAGTTTTTTGTTTTTCAGGTTGCTGGACTCTGTAAACTTCTGGAGCAAAACAAAGACACTCTGTCAACACTTGAATTTCTCAATTGCAAGCTTCCTGCATCTCTTGTCACTGCAATTTGTGATTCACTCTGCGTGAAGGGATTTGAAACAAATGTGATTAAAAACTTCTCAATTAAAAGATCAAGCTTTCTTGACAGCTCATATTTTCCATTACCTCTTGGTTTGGAATCATTATTATCAGCAGCAAGGTGTGTTTGTGTGTGTGTGTTTTGGTTGTCATTTAGTTATGCTGATATCATAAATAATTAAATATCATCTCTGACTTGTTAAAAATGATTTTTTGAACAGTGGTTTGACTAAATTGAGCCTCTCTGATAGTCACATATGGTGGAAAACTGCAAAAATGTTGTTTGATACCCTTCTTGACACCGAATCCGGTTTACAAGTTTTGGATCTCTCAGAAAACTGTGTGAGTAATTTAGTGTAAAAAATTTTATTTTTATAATATATGAATGATTTTAAATTATATTATCAACATTTCAGATTGCGGGTTGGCTTTCCCATTTCAAATGGGGATCACCAAATTGTATCAAACCACATATAAAAATCAACAAATCCCTCCCCTCATTACGTGTACTCAATCTCAGGTTTTTTCTTTTAACCTTTCTGGAGTATTTATTATTTAGTTTAATATTTTATTTTTTTTCATGATTTTGACATTTGCCTATTTGCAGAAGCTGCAATTTACAGAAATCCGATGTAGATTGCCTTAAAAATGTGATGACTTATATGCCAAATCTAGAGGTCTTAAATTTAAGCGAAAATCAATTACAAGATGAAGGGATCAAGTCAGTAGCTTTTTCATTCCCTATATAAATATAAGTAACTTTTAGGATCAAATCAGTTCATATATTTATAACTTTTTTCATCTTTTATATATTTTTAGAGTCTTGATTCTATGTTTGGTTGAAAAATCCAAGTGTCCTACTCCCCTTGCTGAGCTGTACTTGGAACACTGTGAGCTTTCGTGTATGGGAGCAAGTCAACTTTTAAAATTTCTTGAATCATTAAAAACCCCTCTTAAATCTCTATCACTTGGATATAATTATCTAAGCAGGTTTGCTTCTCTCTCTCTTTTTTTTTATATTTTTATTTTTAAATATTTCTGTTGTTGAACAAACTTTTTCCCCGCAGCAACTTCGGCCCATTTTTGGGGAAATTCTTACTTTCGGGTATCCAAGAGATTGATATTAAAGGAATCGGATTAGGTTCTGGTTTTTCAGATGCACAACAAGAAATTACACAAGAGATAAGTCTTGTTCGCATCAATATAAGGTTTTTACTTTTTTTTTTTTTATAACTACATTATATACATATTGTTAATGTATAAAAAAAATTATGTTTATAATTTTTGCATAGTGATAACTCGGGTGGAGTGGGAACAGCGAATCTTTTGTCAAAGTTGATTTCAGAGGCTCCAAATCTTGTTTCAATCAATGCAAGTGATAATTGGATACCAATTGAGTCATTTCCAGCTATATGCTCATGCTTGAAAGCCTCAAAAGGTGAACTACTCTCTCTTTTTTTTTTCTTTTAAAAAAATAGGTTGCTATTATTGGAAATAATGTGTGGTATATGTTTATGATGTTTAGGGAAACTCGAGCATTTAGACTTGAGGCAGAATCCATTATGCAACAAACCGAATATTGCTTCTCTACTAGCTGAATTTCAAGTAAATGGAAAACCGGATATGTTAGTTTCACCACCCTTTTCAAATGTGCTTTATGACAATGATCCATAGCTCAACATATATATAATATAATATAATATGTAACTACTAAGTAATTAATTTATTTAATATATAGTAATAGTATGATGTATAAAGCCTTTATATAATAATAACTTATTACTACAGTTTTAATTTGCTTTTTAGGGTAGTTTTTGCTGTTGTTTTCATTTCATGTGGGTGGGCCCTGGTTTTAAGCTTTTGATAAAAGTGTTTTTTTTTTTTGAGTTGAACTAACTAGCTAGCCAGGCTGTAAAGATTACTTCGTTTTTATGTAATTATTACTATACAAATAAAGGAGTGTACATCCAAAAGAGGAACTTCTCTTATTTGCCACTTTCTTGAGGAAACATTTGTTACAGTTGTCATGTAAAATCAATTAAATATTTTTGTTTTTAACAAAAAGAGGAGGAAGTAATTGTTTTGTGTAGATGTGATTGATTTGTTAGGTGGTTATTTTGCATAGGAATGTGTGGGTTTTTGTAGGTCGGATTGATTTGTTATAGGATTTGATGACAAGGACATGATAAAATAATCTTTTTTTTTTTAAATAAAGATGGGTTGGTGGTTTGGCTTTGTCATCAAGTTATACCTTATCTTTTTATTTTTGTCTATCATCTCTTTGGAACATTTGTTGTGATTTATTTCACAAATGCTATTATTCTTTCACATAAAAGGGAAAACTAACAAATGATTTTGAAATTGTATCCTATATATATATATATATATATATATATATATATATATATATATATATATATATATATATATATATATATATATCTTTCCTAATTGTTGGTTGATAATTCGTGGAGTTTTAAGCTTTTGTAAGCTCAATGAAGTCTTACTAGAAAAGTGACAAGATATGTATATATGTATTCTTATCAAGCTTGCCAAAAAAATTCAATAACATAATTATTTTCATTGGCCAAAAAAAATCAATAACATAATTATTTTCATTGGCATATATTTACCAAAAGTTTTACTACATAATTTTACCAAAAGACATTCGTATGGTTTCTCCATAAAAATGGAAAAAGAAAAATCAAGATGCTAATGTTATAATTTAAGTTTTTCAATTTCGGTTAGAAGAAAATGATGAAGTTAGGAAAAAGTTACTAAAAGTTTAACTACTTAAATTATAATTTAAGTTTTTCAATCTCGGTTAGAAGAAAATAATAAAATGATAAAGTTTGGAAAACGTTACCAAAAGTTTAACTACTTAAATTTTAATTTAAGTTTTTCGATCTTAGAAAAAAGTAACATATATTTTATTTTTCTCACTTAAATTGTTGTAATTTTTTTGTTGTATAAATTAGCATTTTTTTAGAAAAATACATTTATTTATCATATGTAATATAGTAAAAAGGAAATGAGATTTAGTGTCATGTCATCAATATTTTAATCATATAAAAATGATAATAACTTTCTTACAAAATATATATTAGCTAAAAATTGATAAATATGATCATGTTAAAGTTAAACCATGTATGAAATAAATGACTTAAAAGTTAATAAATTATATTTGCGGATGTATAGGGTATATGGTTATTAATATTGCATTTTATATTTTTAATTAATATATTTTGTGAACAGTTAATCAGTAAAAGGACAAAAAGAAATGTATATGTGATATTATCATATTAGAAGATAACTACGTTCACAAAATGACTCTAATTTACGAAGAAAAATCTCGTATTTTCACGTGAATATAATTTAGCTTATTTGTCACCAAATTTATTAAATTAACAGAATACTTTAGTTAACGTTTTTTTTTCGAACAATGAAATTGCATCACTATCAAATAAGCTCTTAAACATATTTCATCTATATTGATAAAAAAAAATAATAATAAAATAAAATAAAAACTGTTATCTTATTCATAATATGCATATAAAAGTTCATTATACATATTTCATAAACAAAGATATATTTCGTGAAATTATTATACAGATAAGTGTTTTGTTCAATATAGTTTTCTTCACAAATCAATGTCATGTTTATATGACAACTACAAATTATTGTATTTTGGATTTTTACTAGTAAAGTTATTTTGCGTATGTATAGATAGTTCATGAAATAGTGTTTGACAAATTATGTTTTCCAGTTTGGCAGTTTTCCTATCATGTTACTTGTTTGTCAATACTTTGACGGTTTATACAACCAAAGCATACAATTAACTGTAACTTTGATTTTAATCTTTTTATGGTCTTGATTTTTACTTATACAATTACTTCATAAATATATACATGTTTCACACAATTATGTTTAACAAATTTTACAAGTTAAGTAATTGTTAGACTTATAAAACAGTACTTCGCAGACCAAATGGATTTGGCCGAACATTAACACATAACTTTGTTTATTGTTTATTTAGTGACGAGAGATGACCAAGAAGCACTTAAAATTTATAACGTAGGTGTAAGATCTTAAGGAAAAAAAAAAAAAAAAAAAAAAAAGGAAACCAAAGACCTTGAATAGCTTAATCAATCCTTAGCAATGCAAGAGAAAGGCCATCAACCAACGCATATCAATTAATTCACCATGTAGACGTGCCTTTGTTAAATATTACTTGAAACCAGGGGCGGATTGAAGGGTTTCCGGGATGGTTGGTGCAATCCTTTAAATTTTGCAGCATAGTGTGATTTTTTGGGAAATTTCCCGACGTAATGTAAATTTTCCAACCGCTGAGACTTTTTGTCATGCATCTGCCAATGCTTGAAACCAATACCAAATCAATATCTAGCCAACACGAAAATGAATAACAAATAACATTGTTAGATGCATTTTATGCACCTATTTAGTACGTCTATTTCATAACTTTGTATTGCATTTAGGCTTAGAATCATGTATTTTACATGTTTCCGGGACATTTCATGGTACTATTTCACCCGCACACTTTTATAATTTTCCAGGGATTTTTGGAGGTGGAATCTTGCTAGGGATGATGATCGGAAGCTCGGGGCAAAATTTCATGATTTTTGGAGCAATGATGCATGAATTGCGGAAATTGAAGAAACCAATCACAGACTGTTACATGTCGTGTTTTTAACAAATGGAATAATCATGGTCGTGTTTTAGAAGATTGGAACATGAAGAAGCCGTTTACGCGCCCGTGTTTTTTATGCCTGACAATAAACACGGTCATGTTTTCGTTAACACATGTCATTTTGACATTGTATGGTCTTGGTGCTTTTGCTCCGTTTTATTGTGTAAAAACTTATAGGATTATGATGCACGAGGATAAGTGGTCGTCATTTTTAGAGTTAATATACATGGACCAATCCAGTAGTTTTGTTCAAGACCATACAATGTCAAAATTCCGCTTCATGTCATATTTCGATGCATTTGGACAAGTATAAAAGGATTAATCACGCGGTGAAGGTAGTGGTTTTAGTTTCTTTATTCTACAAGTCATTCATAATTGTATTAATAGTTGGTAAAGTTTTTCATTATTCTACCATTAGGTTACTATCTAGACTTGCACAAAAAAATCGGTTCACGATCCGAACCGGCCAAAGAACCTATAAACAGGTTCACTATGAACCGATCCGATTCAGGAACCAAACCGTCTGTTTGCACCGGTTCGAGATTTTAGTCATTGAAACTGGTTTAGTACCGTGTGAACCGTTGTAGAACCGATGGAACTGGTTTAAATAGGTTCGATTTATTTATTTATTTATGAATGAACAGGTTTGAACCGAACCGGTTTAGGACTGAACCGGTGTTCCTATTTTCGAATCGAAATCGAATTGGTTTAAAGAACCAGTTCGATTTGAAGAAAAAACCATTTTGTGCACCTTTATTACTATCTACCATCAAATGGAAAACAATTTTTACATTCAAGTTAGCAATATATGATTCAAAATTATTCCAACTTTATATAACAAACTATTCAACTATTGTTATATTTCAATCAATGTACATGATATTTTGAGAAACACCACATGGATATTATCTAGCTCCACTTCATAATACTTTGTGAAGTGAAGCTAGTAAATGTGCATGAAGTAATATCCCTGCTAACGAGCTCGAAGGTAGATTGAAACCAATTTTTGCACATATAGGTATATGAGAATTGTAACATTCTAAAAATCACAGACAACATTTTCACTTTTAAAACCATATTAAAATCCATACACCTACTAACCTCCAGTTGGTCGCCACCTTGTGGCCATCCTTGGCCATGCTGTGGCTGCTAAACGACAAAGCAGACGAGTTCATACCGAGTCGCCACGCTGTGGCAACCTAAGGCCATGCCGTGGGGACTGGTTTAGACAGCTTAATCCATTAAGCTATTTTCCTACAACTCCAAGAGCTCCAAAACTCATATCTGGTTCTTCCCATGATCTTGATGAATAAAGTTTCCAACTTTATTTATTAAGACACCTCAATAAGTCAAGATCCCAGACCCAAATTCCTTAAAGGTGACTAAATGCATAAAGTCACTCCTTAAGCATCCAAATCTCTAGAGTTGCTCACCTAAGGTTTCCAGAAGGGTTTCCTACACCTAGTAAGCCATAAAGATCGTAGCTTTATGGACATGCATGTCCATTGCATGTCCCTTCCATTTTAGGTAAAAAAACATGTCAATAAGGAACTCAGGCTTAAGCATGGGACCAAAAACTTCATATCCTTAGATCTGGAACATATAACACTACAATGACCACTTCAATCCATAAAGTTGCCAACTTTATGAGATCCAACCTTCCAATTTCTCACATCATGAATATTAAAGGACAAAAGTGATAGATCTAGAGACAAGTAACATAAAGGTTGGATCTTGATGACTTACAAGAGTCCAGAAAACATGACAAGAGGGATAGGGAGAGTTGCTTGTTGAAACAAAACCCAAGAGTGTCTTCTTCTTCTTCAAAACACCACCAAACACACCAAACACTCAAAGGTTAGCAATGAAGATTAGGGTTTTCTCTTGGAGGTTGAGGGAAAGTGATTGAGGCTGAGGGTGGGCAACCCTAGCGATCACATTCCCTTAAATAGGGGCTCAAACCTCGGATTAGGGTTTGCCATTAAACAATGGCCACATCGTGGCGAATAGATGCCACGTCGTGGTGCAAGCTTAGTGCCCACGAAACTTTGGCCTTGGCCATGTCGTGGCCACCAGAAATCCAACATCCAAAATATTAAATTACTTAAAAGAAACATACCCGAAACTTGGCTTTACAAGAATTTAGATATTTTAGC